GTTTTTCCCCCCACCCTTTTACTCCTGGGTTTTTTCCTCCCCGTCTGGCTCCTGCTCCATCATGGCCACCCTGGAGAAACGGCTTGTGAACCCTGAATATCTGAGGCAGGTCTCAGTTAATTTAGAAAGTTTAGGCTGGGTGCAGTGGCTCCTGGCTGTAATCCCAGCACTTGGAGAGGCTGAGGCGGGCAGATGACCTGAGTTCAGGAGTTTGAGACCTGCTTTGCCAACATGGTGAAATCTCATCTCTACTAAATATTCAAAAATTAGCTGGGTGTAGTGGTTGATACCTGTAATCCCAGCTACTGGAGAGGCTGAGGCAGGAGAGTCGCTTGAACCCGGGAGGCAGAGGTTGCAGTGAGCCGAGATTGCACCACTGCACCCCAGCCTGGACAGCAGAGCGAGACTTCGTATCGAGAAAAAAAAAAAAGAAAGTTGAATTTGCCAAGGCTGAGGACGCGTGACCCTGACACAGCCTCAGGAGGTCCTTACAACATGTTCCCAAGGCTGTCAGGCCCAGCCTGGTTTTAGACATTTGGGGAAGACGTGAGATATCAATCCACATATGTAAGATGTACATTGGTTCCGTCCTAAGGCGGGACAGCTCCAGCAGGGAGGGGGTTTGCAGGTCTCAGATAGGTGAGAGACAAACGGTTGGTTCTTCTGAGTTTCTGATTGGCTGTAACCAAGGAGGCAATCAGATGTGCATTTATCTCAGCAAGCCGAGGCGCTTTGAATAGAATAGAATCTTCCATCTGAGCAGTTCGCAGCTGGACTTGGCCCTTTAGCTTAGTGATTTGGGGGCCCCAAGATTGATTTTCCTCTCACAGGTTGGTTCAATCCCAGAATAAAGGAGTTCCAGCCCCTGCCCATTCTGGGGTGTGTCCACTCAAGTGAGAGGCTGTCCCAGAGCAGATACTGGGGTGCAGTCTGCCTCTCAGGGGAAGCCCTCCTTCCTCGGCCCCGGGCTGTAACCAGGCCTGTGTCCCCCACGGCAGGCACTCCAGGCCTCGCTGTCTGTCTGATACAAAGACTCTTGTGCATGTTTGGCAGGAAGACCTCCAGGCTCCCGTGGTCCTGTGTTAGTAGCAGACAGAAACTCCAGTGTCACTTGTCAGCACAGCCTCTCCTAGCCTACTTTTGCATTTTCACATTCTGTCCCGAGCACGTCATGTGGTGATGTGGCAGGGTTCAAAAGCATCCCTTTACGTGGCCTCACAATATTCCCAAAGGCGAGTGAGCATCCCCTGCTCAGCAGATCTTCACTGAATGCATATTATGTGCCAGGCCTTGAGCTTAGACGTCAGAGCACAAAACCACTGCAGACACACCCCCTGTCCTCCCGGCACTACCAAGGTTACCAGCACCCCCTGCCCCTGCCAGCCCTGGAGTGTTCATTCTTTCCGCTGTGTCTTTATTACAAATAACTCTGCATGGAACATACTCTTGGGACCGTTCTGTATCACCATCTTTACAAAGACTGAGAGCAGGAAAATGACAGGCCCACAGAGATCAATTCCAGGGTCAGAGACAGGCTGCGCTGGGCTGACCCACACGGCCCTGGGTGTCCATTCTCAGCTCCTGCGACATTCAGCCAGACAGCATGTGGCACGGGCTTCTCCCCTAAGGGAGTTCACCCTGAACCATAAGCCCACAAGCTAGGTAAATTAACTCATCTAAGGTCGCACAGTGAGATACAGGGAGGTGCTAGGATGATGCCAAAGCTTGTCATTCAACCCCACCACCACTGCCCCTGGAAACTGATAAAAACATCAACAATAAAATGCCTCCAGCTGCTGCTGTGTGGGCTGGGAAGGATGGTGAGGGCTGCACGTGGGAGTTTTTAAATCAACTTTTAAATTGACTATATATAGGCCGGGTGTGGTGGCAGGAGCCTGTAATCCCAGCACTTTGGGAGGCCGAGGCAGGCAGATCACAAGGTCAGAAGTTCAAGACCAGACTGGCCAACATGGTGAAACCCCATCTCCACTAAAAAATACAAAAGTTAGCTGGGCATGGTGGCTCATGCCTGTAATCCCAGCTACTTGGGAGGCTGAGGTAGGAGAACTGCTTGAACTGGGACCCTGGAGGCAGAGGTTGCAGTGAGCTGAGGTTGCCCACTGTATTCCAGCCTGGGCTGCAGAGCGAGACTCCATCTCAAAAAAAACATTTTTCTTTTTCAAATAAATAAATAAATAAATTAACTACATATAGAAAAGTAAGTAACTCCTATGAGTACAGGTTGATGAAGTTTGCCAAGGTAAGCACAGAGATTCAATTAACAGAACCCCTCCCCAGAAGCCCCCATGCCCTTTCCCATCAGGATCCCCTCCCCCCTCCCCGGAGGTAAACCCTCTTGGCATCCAGCGCTGTAGATGAGTTCTGCCTGTTCCCGAACTTTATAAAAACGGAAGCATACCATGTTTAACCCTTTGAGGTGACAATCCTGGCGGCCCATCCTTGCGTGGCACTTCTTACCAGTCAGGTTCCAGCCTAAGCCTAAGTCCTGTGTTTTATCAGGTCACCAAATCCTCTCCGCAACCTAATGAAATAGGTCCTGCCATCAGCATCTCCCTCATTTTGCAAATGGGAAAAAGGCACAGTTCATGATGGCAGAGTCAGGACTCGAACCCAGGCAGTGTGGCTCTGGAGGCTGCACTCTGCACTCCACCCCACACCACCTCTTCTGAAGGAGGTACCCTTGTTAGCTCCATTTTATAGAAGAGGAGACTGAGGCTTGGAGAGGCTGAACTACCTGGCCCTGTCCTACAGCCTACTCCAGCTCCAGGGCCTGACACTGCCCTGGACCTCTCCTGTTCCACCCAGCCCCCCAAGCCCCCAGCCCCTAACAGTGTCTGACTCTGGCCTCCTGCATCCTCCCCGACAGAGGCCTTCGAAACAGCCGGGCTACGGCCGGGGACATCGCCCACTACTACAGGGACTACGTCGTCAAGAAGGGTCTGGGGCATAACTTTGTGTCCGGTGCTGTAGTCACAGCCGTGGAGTGGAGGACCCCCGACCCCAGCCCTCTCTTCCAGGTGAGCGGCTTCCTGACCAGGGACCAGGGCCGGCAGCCCTTCTCGCTGTGGGCCCGCAACGTGGTCCTTGCCACAGGCACGTTCGACAGCCCAGCCCGGCTGGGCGTCCCCGGCGAGGCCCTGCCCTTCGTCCACCATGAGCTGTCTGCCCTGGAGGCGGCCACAAGGGTAGGGGCAGTGACCCCAGCCTCAGACCCTGTCCTCATCATCGGCGCGGGGCTGTCGGCGGCCGACGCAGTCCTCTTTGCCCGCCACTACAACCTCCCTGTGATCCATGCTTTCCGCCGGGCCGTGGACGACCCCGGCCTGGTGTTCAACCAGCTGCCCAAGATGCTGTACCCCGAGTACCACAAGGTGCACCAGATGATGCGGGAGCAGTCCATCCTGTCGCCCAGCCCCTACGAGGGCTACCGCAGCCTCCCCGGGCACCGGCTACTGCTCTTCAAGGAAGACCGCCAGGCCGTGTTCCAGGACCTCGAGGGTGTTGAGAAGGTGTTTGGGGTCTCCCTGGTGCTGGTCCTCATTGGCTCCCACCCTGACCTCTCCTTCCTGCCCCGGGCAGGGGCTGACTTTGCAGTGGACCCTGACCAGCCACTGAGCGCCAAAAGGAACCCCATTGACGTGGACCCCTTCACCTACCAGAGCACCCGCCAGGAGGGCCTGTACGCTGTGGGGCCACTGGCTGGGGACAACTTCGTGAGGTTTGTGCAGGGGGGCGCCCTGGCTGTGGCCAGCTCCCTGCTAAGGAAGGAGACCAGGAAGCCGCCCTAACATCCGGCCAGGCCCGCTGGCTGCCAGGCCCTGAAGAGGGCAGAGATGACCACATACCTGCTGGATCCAGAGCCCATCCAACAACACCCCGGGGAGGGCTGTCAGCCCATGTAGCTGGCCTTTGGGGTTAAGAGGAGCAGGGGGCCCAGGCTTCTCTGGACTTAGACCAGTGTCCAAGGTGGTAACAGTGGCCGCAGACCAGGGTCGGCCTAGACCTAGGATTTTGGGGGTAACCTGCTAGTGTGAGCTGGAATCACCAGCAGCAGCTGCGCACCCAGCCAGGAAGCCTGCACGCCTGCGCTTTCTAGAAGCAGGTCCCAATAAAGCCAGTGCCCGCCTGCACTCATGCGTCTGAGGACTCTGTGCTCAGGGAGGGATCTGCGTTCCTGGGACCCCGCACTGGGCTGGAGGGAAGGGAGGGAAGGAGACTGGGGGAGGAGAGCTGGGCCATGTGGTCCTAGATGAGGTCCATGGCTGGGGCCTTGGGGTGCAAAGGATGGTGCCCCAAGTGTGGGAGCAGTTGAGCAGGCAGCTGTACTGGAGCCCGGGGGCAGGAGTATTGGGTGTGTGCAGGGAGTGGTGTCCAGGAGGGCACTGGAGCCCCGCCTCCCTCCAGCCTGTTCCAGGCCCCCCTTCTCTCTGTTCTGCCAGGCAGCCTCCTTTCAGTTCCTCCTGCTGGCTGGTTCCCTGCCTGCCCCAGGGCCTTTGCACAGAGGGTCCTCAGCCCAGGACATTTTCCTGCCTTTCTATAACTCCTCTTCCTTGGAATCTCTCAGCATAAGAATCACTTCCTCTTGGAAGCTGTTTCTGACATAAACCCCTCCACTGCCATCCGAGCAAACACTCCAAGGTGTTACCTTTCATAACAATTCAGTTTTAGTTTTCTATTTTTTTATTTTTTGGAGACAGACTCTCACTCCATCGCCCAGGCTGGAGTGCAATGGTGCAATCTCTGCTTACTGCAACCTCTGCCTCCTGGGTTCAAACAATTCTCCTGCCTCAGCCTCCCAAGTAGCTGAGATTACAGGTGTCCCCACCTCGCCCAGCTAGTTACTGTATTTTTAGTAGAGATGGGGTTTCATCATGTTGGCCAGGCTGGTCTTGAACTCCCGAACTCAAGTAATCCGCCCTCTTTGGCTTCCAAAGTGCTGGGATTACAGGCGTGAGCCACCACACCCGGCCAGCAATTCGGTTTTAATTGTTCATTTATTTGTGGAATCACTTCAGTGTTTGACTCCGCCTATTTGGATGTAAGCTCCTGGAGGCCAAGGACACCATCTGTTTTGCCCATTGCTAGAACCGAGCAGTTGGGCACCTGCCTGACACCTAGTGGGTTTTCCTTAACTCAGCTTTTAAATGGACGGATGGATGGATGGATGGGAAGATAGGTGGGTGGATGGATGGGAGGCAGGATGGGTGGGTGGGTGGGTGGATGGATGGATGGATGGAGGATGGGAGGGTGAGTGGGCCGGTGGGTGAATGGATGGGAGGGAGGAAGGGAGGATAAATGGGTGGGTGGGTGGGTGGATGGATGGGTGGGAGGATGGTGGGTGGGTGGATGGATGGGAGTGTGGGTGCGTGGGTGGGTGTATGGACGGATGGGAGGATGGTGGGTGGGTGGAAGGGCAGGTGGGTGCATGGACGGACAGATGGGAGGCGGAGGATGGATGGATTGGAGGGAAGGTGGGAGGGCGCATAGATGGATGGGTGGATGGAGTGGGAAGGAAAGATGTTCTGGGGTGAAAACTGGTTCTGGCAGTTGTGTAATGAAGGCGGCGGCCTGAGGGGGCATGCGCCCCGCGGGAGGTAAGGGTGGGCGCCCGCGGGTGTGACGGAGCCGCGGTGCGTGGGCGCCGCTCCCCAGGGCTGGAGCCGGTAGAGGGCGCTCTGGGCTCGCTGGACACCCGCGCTCAGGCCCCTGCAGAGCGTCGCGAGTGGGAGGGGGGGACTTTAGAAGCGGGGGCAGCAGGAGACTTTTGGGGACCAGATCCCAGGGGAGCCGCCCCGCCCCCAGGCCCCAACTTCCCCGAGCCTCCGGGCAGCCCCTTCTGCGGCCGCACCCCGCGCCCCGCGCCCCGCGCCCCGCGCCCCATGCCCCAGCAGGGAGTCCCCAGGCCCGGCGCCCGTCCGGCGGGGGTGGGGGCGGCGGGGAGCGGGCACGTGGCTCAGGGTCCGGCCGGACCGCCCCCCCGGCGCCGGCCAGTCCCCGCGGTGTCCGCGGCCGCGCGGGCATTGGGAGGGAGGGCGGGGCCGCGCGGGGAGGGGGTCGTGCGGGGGCGGGCCGCGGCCAGGCGGGGGTCGGCGGGCTTCCGGGCGGCGGCGGCGGGCGCGGCGCGATGTGCGAGCGGGCGGCGCGCCTGTGCAGGGCCGGCGCGCACAGGCTGCTCCGGGAGCCGCCGCCGCAGGGCCGAGCGCTGGGCGGGCTGCTGCGCTGGGTGGGCGCCAGGATGGGCGAGCCCCGGGCGCCGCTGGCCCCCGCGGACCCCGCGGACCCCGGCCCCGGCCCCGGCCCCGCCTCGCCGCGCGGGGGCACCGCCGTCATCCTGGACGTGAGTACGCGCCGGCCGGGACCCCCGCCGTGGCCTCTGCCGGGATCCGGAGCCCCCTCCGCCCCTCGGGCGGACCCCGACGCCGCCCTAGCTCGCCTCCGTAGGGACCCGCGAGGCCCCCTTACCGGGGCAGGAGACCCCCGGCGTCTCTCCGCCCCTCCGCGTCCCAGAGCGGGAGCCTCCAGCCCCGTTCTCTCCCTGCACCGAGAGACCCCCTCCTCCGCTCCTCCAACCGCGCTCCTCGGGATCCCTGCCCGCCCGCAGTGGGGATCCGTGAGCCCCCGGACCCGGCCATCGTCCCCTGAGTTTTGTCCCAGCCAACACCCCCACCCTTTACCCTGCGGGACACGAGCCTCTCGCCGTCGCCAGCCCCCTCCTCCTCCCCATCTCGGATCCTGTCCGGAGGGATACTTAGTTCTGAGGCCTCCAACAACCCCTGCCTCTCTTCGCTCTAGACCTTGAGCCTTCCACCTCATCTCACGCCCAAAGACCCTTTGCCCCCGCCACTGCCACTTTAAAAGTGAAGTCCCCTGCCCGCCTTCTGTCTTCTCGTCTCCTTTCCATACTGTCAGAGCCACCGCCCATCAGCCCTGAGCCGGGACTCCTCTGGCCTTCCCCACCTCGCTCCCTTCCATTCCAAGCCCTCTGCTGTCCTCTGTTCCCTTCCCCACACCCCCTCCCCTACTGAGCGCTGGGTCCTCTTCATTTACCACTCACCCCTCACCCCTTCTAACTCCCCTGGGACCCAAACCACCTACCTCTGGGAAGCCCATGTCACCCTCCCCCTCGCCCCACCCGGGAGGGAGGAATCTTCAGGGAGTGGGTTGGGGGAGGAAGACTTCTCCCTGCAGAGAGCGCTGGGAGGAGGTGAAGGAGGCGTCTGGGGGTGTGGACTAGGTGTTTCAGCCAGGGTCCTTCCAGAGTGGGGCTGGGGGCTGCCTCTGGCTATGTGGTGGGTTTCCGGGAGGGTTGGGGGTGTGTGTGAATGTGTACACGTGTGTATCGCAGATCCCTGTGAGAAGGGGGATTCTCTTCCTTCCTCTCTCCTCTTCCCTGCTCCTGGAACCCTCTGCAGGATCTAGACTGGAAGGGCTGGACAGGGCGTGGGGAGCTCTAGAGTGCCACACTCACAGGCACACACGCACTCACACGCTCGCTTAGGCACGCACACACGCACTCACACGCTCACTTAAGCACGCACACACGCACTCACACACAGCCAGCCACACACCTGTGCCGCCACGCCCTGCGCCAGGACCCCAGCAGAGCTCCCACTGAAAGTCCTGGACTGAGCCCTGCCACCCCAGGCTGCCCTTCAGGGAAGCCTTGCCCTGTGAGGTGGGGGCTCTGAGCCTCTGCCTGGGGACCTGCCACTTGGAATGATGAGCGGGGGCGGGGCGGGGGGGGTGCTCGTGTAGACTCCTGCAGCTGGCTAACGTTACCAGGTGTTAGCCCTGTGTTGTCACTCGTGTGTTCAGGGTTCCTGCCCAGAGTTGGCACCTGCCTGGTTCCTGGCCTCAGGGGGGATCTGGGATACCTAGATAGGGACCCCCAGCTTTGAGGAACCTTGCGCAGTCAGGAACAGGGCTTCAGGGTGCCCAGGCTGGAGCTCTGAGGAGGGCCTGGGGGTCTGAGGTTTAGCCAGGAGGAGAGGTAATGTTTGAGAGGTCCTCCGGAGCTGTGCTTCAGTCACACCACCCAGGCACCTGGAAATGGCCAAGGTGTCCCTGTCTCGTTGCTTGGAGGGGTGGAGGGCGGGGGCTCCTGTCCTTTTCCCCAAGGCAAGGACCGAGAGTGGAAGGGTCAGTGAGTATTACCTCCTCCTCCTCTGTAGCTGACCTGGCCCCAGCAGCCCTCCCTGGTGTCTAGGGAAGTGTACACCTGTTGCCCCCCTCCCTGGGTCTCAGTGCCCTCTTTGCTAAAACAAGCCGGTAAGAGGGGTGGGGGCCCCTCCAGGAAGGGAGTGGGATCCTTCTGAGGCTTTAAAGTGCTGGTTACAGTGAGGGGTCTGAGTGCACTACAGCACAGAGTAGGTGGGACACCTCACATTGCAAACTCCTGCAGGGCCTGGAACTGCTCCTGTGAATAGCAAGGTCTTGGCGCACAGGTGTCAATGCTGAGTGTGCCTGGGAAGCTTGAAAAATGCTGAAATCAGAGCCAGCCTCACAGCAGCTGATTCAAGCCTCCTGGGGTGTGGCCTTGGCTCAGGAGGTTTGGAAAGCGCTCCAGGTGATGGTGTTGGAAGGGGCGGAAAGCTGCTTTGGAGCCTCAGCCGGGCAAGTAGCACCCGCCAGCCTGACCTTGAGGGAAGGGAGCACCTCTGTCCCAGGGATTCTGATGTCACCGGAAAGGCAGGAAGACGAGGCACCTGGTCTCTAGGTTCAGGCCAGCGTTGGGGCTGCCCCCACCTATCCCTGACTAATGCAGCCTGAACCTCGTGGAGGCTGCTTTTCTGAGCTCTTAGCATCCTGTTTTCTGCTCCTGCACCCCCAAATTAACGCAGTCCTGCCCGTGGCTGTCGTTGTCACCAAGTCTTGCAAACACCTCCGTTGGACTTAGCCCAACCTCCCTGGAAACACCGGGGGTTCTGGAAGGACTGCGGTGGTAAAAGTTGTGGTGCTCCCTGGGACGCTAATTCAGAGTGATTGTGTGCGGCTGAGCGTTTAGCGGTAGGTGAGGCCGCGTGGACTGATGATTGTGGACGTCCACCTGCGGGGATGGCCGTGGGCCTGCGTGTGTCTGTCAGCGTGGCCAGGGGCAGGCTGGTGGTGCTGGCAGCTGCTTCCATGTAGGCGAGGGGAGGGCCTCTGCCTGTAACATGCTTCCATTGTTCCCCCTGGATCCCAGCCCAGGGATTGGGAGAGGGAAGGGGAGCTCGGCTTTGCTGGGCCCTAAGCTGCTCCTGGTATCCGGGCAGAAGCCTCGGGAAGGGCTTGCCTCTCCCTGGCCCAGGGCTAACTCGACCTCTCTTTTCTGCAGATTTTCCGCCGCGCGGACAAAAATGGTGAGTTTGTTTTCTAGGCTGCCTGCCGCCCCGCTCCTGTCCTCGTACTTCATGGGGAAGGGACCTGGGATAGGAGACACGAGCTACCTTGAGCCTAAAGGTTTGGAGGGCAGGGCTCTGAAGTTAGAAGGCCAAATCCTTCCTCTGCTCTGTGCCTCAGTCTCCGTATCTGTAAAATGGGAATCCTAGTAGGGCCTATTTAGTAGGGATCCCCTCACCTCGAGGGCTCAGTAAGTCATTGTGATACCAAGAACGATGGCTGGCCGTGGTAAGTGCTGGGTGTATGTTAGGTCTTTTTGTAGATGGGCTGGACCAGAGGAGCCCAGGCTGGGGCCCAGGAAGCCCCCAGCCTCACGCTAGGCTCTTTACAAGCTTTGATGCACTTCTTCCTTGTAGCAGCCTGAGCAGTCAGCGCTCTTACCTCTGTTGATACCATGGTGGCCCAGAGAGGTTAAGCAGTTTGCCCCAGGGTTGCCCAGCTGCGTGAAAGAAGAGGAGCCTTTCCTGTACACCTGGGCCCTTTTCCCGGTATCTCTTAGCCTCTTCAAAAATGGGAGCAGACCCTCATTGTGGCCACAGAATTCGTAGCACTCGGCTTCTGCTGACTCCTTGGACGGGCTCCACCTGCAGAAAGTGCTTGAGAATAAGTACGTTTAGGAAGGCCCAGCTGAGCCTCAGCTGACAAAAAGCGCCACACTTCGTAGATACCATAGTCACTATTACAGGCACGGCACAGCTTGCTGTGGACTTCAGCCAAGACGTGTTCTCTCTGGGCCTCGGTTTTCCCGTGGCTAAAGTGGCGCAGTAACACTTGCCTTGCCTACTTCCCTGGGTTTTGAGGAAAAGCCAGGGAGGAGGTGTGGGTGACAAATGTTTTTAAAGCGTTTTAAAAACAAGTGTTTTTCAAGTACTTAGCCTGTTCAGGGGAAGAGCAGGCAACAGAGACCCTGTGAGTTGCCCCCGGGCCCTTGGTCCCCAACACCTCTGGCCCCAGTTCCTCTCCTGCACAAGTTGAAGTTGGGGATGGCAGCTCTGGCCTGGGTCCCCAGCACCCCGCCTCATGCCTGGGGGTTCCTGTTGACGTCTCCTACTGAGGGCGGTGGCAGGGTGGAGTTGGAGGCTGGAGTTGGGTGGGGGGTGGGTGGGCAGGGGCACAGGTCTGGGCTTGAATCAGCTCTGAGAAGTCTCCCACCTTGCCCCCCCGCATCCCTGGGGGTGATGGTGACTGCTCCCAGTCCTCTGGTGACGAAGGCCCATCAGTAGTGATTCTGTACAGAGCAGAGGAGGAGGGAGATGGACGTAGGGAGATGAGCTGGTGCTGGAAGAACGGCCATAGCATTGCAGACTGAAAAGCCTTGGACATGAGCCAGGGGAAGTCAGGGGGCTGTCCCCTGAGATGGAGTCTCTGGCACCCTCAGCGTCATTGCCTGTGTGCTGGCCTGGCTCCTTCAGCAGGTTGAGAGGCAGGGATTTGGGTTTGTCGCTTCTCCTGGGCCTGATAGCCAGCACACCGCAGGGCTCGGTAAATGTCTGTAGACTTGGTGAACGTGTGTGTTGGTGAGAGCGTGGCTGTTTGTTGGTTTCTCGGTGACGCAGCAGCGTGTGGCTGTTGGCAGTGCATGTGTCCAGTGTGGGTCTCTCGCCTGCTGCAGAGCATGTGTGGGCCTCTAGCCATGGCTGTACACCCCAAGTGTGTGTACAGCTTGTGTGCGTGTGTGGCTTCCTGTGTGTGCAGTCCGCAGAAGCCATTGCAGCGTATACACATGGGCGGGAAGTACCTGGCCACCCGTTGGGCACAGATGGGGTTCTGTCCTTGCTTCGGGCTCCTCCCATCAGAGGCCATCTGTCCACCCCCGAGCACAGCTGTGGGACCCTCAGTTTCATTCCTGCAGCCACCACAAAGGCCGAGCCTGTTCCTCCTCCTCCTCGGGTCTTCCATCTTCCCAGCCACCAACATGTGGCCATGGGGGGCTGTCACCGGGGTGAATGTGGGTGTGAGATGTGCTTCCAGCAAGAGTGTCCCAGGTCCTGGAGCCTGACTGCCTGAGATCAAGTCCTGGCTCAGTGGCATACTGGCTCTGACCTCAGGCAAGTCACCAAACTCTCCAGCCTCAGTTTCCCTATTTGTAAATGGGAATTGTAATGACAACACCCACCTCATAGGGCTCTCTGAGGACAGAGTTGCGCTCTTGGCTTGGCTGAAGATGTCAATCGTCCCAGCTGCTCTGCATCAAATGGCTGGGAAATGAGAGTCTGCAGGCGTGGCTTGTCCAGAGGGGTTTGATTCCCATTGCTCAGCAGAGAGTTAGGTCTGTTGGAGGCTGCAGCAGTCACTGAACATCTATTGTGCACCAGGACTTGAATGTGCTTTCTCCTTTAATCTTCACTGTGATCCTACTGAGACAAGAATCAACCCCCACCCTCTTTCCAGGTGACAAAAACGAGGCTTGGAAATGGCACATGACATTCCTCACATGGTCGGGGGGCAGTGGTGCAGGCAGGTTCTGATTCAGTGCAGCAGCTTCAAAGCCTTGTGTAGGGGTGGGTGGGACTTGGTGTGGGTATAGATAGGGGAGTGGTGTGTGTGGATAGAATGGCTGGGGAAGGAGGAATGAGTGTAGGGGTGAGATTAGGTGT